CCTGAATCCACCACTTGAGCCAAGAGCCACCAATTAACAGTCCAACTTCCGCAAAGTACCCATCACTCCATGCACCATAATTGGCTCCAAGAGCTCCTGTCCCAGCAAGAAGCGGGACCAAATACGAAGAAACCACCAAGACCACAGCCCCAAAAAGCGCCATGGGGAACGTTTTACTCGGATTTTCAACCTCCCCTGCAAGAGTACTTGCCTTATCCCAATAGTTCAGATTCCAAAACATGGTATTGAAGTACCCTCTCCAGTCCACCTTCTTGAAGTCCACCACAAGCCAATGCTTAGGACTAATTCTAGGAATCGAAAGAACACCCATCACAACAAAGGGGAAAAGCGAGAAGACGGCAAGAGCAACAGCCGAAAACCCGACAACATGCAGACCTCGGTAGTTCAAGTAAGTCAATGAAACTGTAAGCCCCAAAAGAGCTGGAATTCGAGCTACTAATCGATTGAAGATCGGTATCGAGTGCTTAAGATAATCAAGGAACAAAACAGGATAAAGGGCATTATCCATAACCCCACTAAACCATTTCCAAAACCCTTCTTGGAACCCCCAGAATGGCCCAAATGCTGTTGATATCCAAAGCACATACCCTCCATTTTCGGGGAAGCTTGTGGCTAGTTCTGCTGTTACCAAAGCTTCAGGGATGCTCCAAATGAAAGGAAATATCAAGAAACCAAGCAAAGACAAAAGAGGTCCACCACCGGCCTTTACTGAATCCTCAACTCCAAAAGGACCCCCAGAAACATCATAGAATATCAAAGCAATAAGAGGAAGAAGAGTAAGTTTTGGTGTTTTCTTGATAACAGCAATATTCTCGCCATTACTTGTCATTCCCTATTCACCAATCCACAGGAAAAGGAGAAACTAAATAGATGATTGGAAGCAAAATTTGATGTCACAAGCAGTTCAACGAATTTACTGAAATGGCCTTTGCCTAAATTGTTGAAAAACAAAAAACAGTTGCCAAAACTGGAAGATTCAGTTGTGAGAGGAGATAGTAATAATACCTGTTTTGGAGGATTTACCAAAATGAGAACTCTTGAGATCTTTAGTTAAATTGTGGGATTCAATGTTTTGGAGCTGTTGTAAAACACAGTTTGAATCCCAAACATCTTGGGAAGATTGCCAAATCCAGATCTTTTTTTGGGAGTGGTGGAGAAGCTCATCTCTTGAACAAGGAGAAGTCAAAGGTTTGACATTTGGCTTACACGTTATGCCCAACCATAGAGCTTGCACGTATTATCACGTGGACGAATGGCAAGACTACGGAGATTGGCGGACACTTGAGCATTTTTGGGTTTTTTTTTTTTTTGATAATTAGCATTATTGGCTATTGCTCCGTGGATTTTGAGTGCGAAATAATTGAAGAATCCCATGTAACATCATCAATGTCCCCATTTTATTTTTGTATCTTTTTTTTTTTTTTTTTT